AAATACATGGAGAAGATTCGACAGGCTCATCTGGCCATGAAGGCAGGGGTGGGAGAGGCTTGATGGAAGCAGCTGTATAAAGCAGTTGTGTAAAGCTCATTTTTTGAGGCCAGTTTTGTTACTGTGCTTTCTGTGGAGTCAGACATGAACCTTGATGGAAGTTTTGTTTGGGGCTTAGGGTATTTATTCTGCAGGCACCCATATGCTACATTATATTCCTCCTCAGCCTGAGATCCGTTTCCTAAAACAAGTTGGTGAGGCTGACTCTGTGGGCCCCTCCAGCCTTCTCTCCAGATGCTGGCCAGACCGGCCAGTCCAGTCCTTTATTCTCTATACCACTGAAACGTAGCCACCTAGACAGGCTTACCACACCCTGTCTCATCTTGGAGCCCTTCCCTGGAGGTGCCAGTTGCCACTGACCTCCCTCTTCTCTGTCTGCATTCACACTGCACACAAGATTGTCATCACCATATTGTATCCTACAGTTTATGAGAACAGCTTGCTAGTACGGGGACGATGCAGGCACACACAAACTGCTTCCCCAGCCATTGAGGACAAGGGGACCTAGGCAGGGTTCTAGCCTATATATCCCTAACTCTAACTCCCGCCTCCTCAAGCAGGACCTCTGCAGTCCATGCTTGGTGCGCAGGGATTTCTGGGAGACCCAGGGAATTCTCTGAAGCAGTCCAGGAAGGGCCCATGCCGGTCTGCAGGCTCTTTCCTCTTCTGCTCTTCTGCTCACTTGCTGCCTCTCAGCAAGGATGCAAGGCTTGCTGCTTTTGGTTACACCTTTGTCAGAAGGCTCCCTGAGCAGCACACTTGGATACAACTGCTTTACCAAAGCAGTGAGAAAGCCCGTTTTTTTAGGAGAGTTTTGTTTCTGTGCTTTCTGTGGAGTCAGACGTGAAGCTCAGCTCAGGATATGTCCTAGTGGAAGAATGACACAGCCTCAAGCCTCGACCCTTGCCACAATCTATCACCTCTAATCAGTATGTTCTCTTCATAGCCCAAGGGACTCCCTAACCATGACCAGAGTCATTGATACTGAGCTGGGGATCTGATTTGGGGAGACTGACTGGAGCCTGGAACGCAGAACTCTGAATCTGCCACACACTTTCTCAAAGTATTCTCTTCCGGCCATCCCCTCACCTTGCCTGGGCTTCTACAGGCTGGCCTCCCTTGGGAGAATGGTCACTGAATCTAGGTTTCTAGGAAAGCCATGTTTTCCTTGGTGTCTACCTGTGCCCACCC